TTAGTTAGTTAGTTAGTTAGTTAGTAGTTAGTAGTTAGTTAGTTAGTTAGTTAGTTAGTTAGTTAGTTAGTTAGTTAGTTAGTAGTTAGTTAGTTAGTTAGTTAGTTAGTTAGTTAGTTAGTTAGTTAGTTAGTTAGTTAGTTAGTTAGTAGTAGTTAGTTAGTTAGTTAGTAGTTAGTTAGTTAGTTAGTTAGTTAGTTAGTTAGTTAGTTAGTTAGTTAGTTAGTTAGTTAGTTAGTTAGTTAGTTAGTTAGTAGTTAGTTAGTTAGTTAGTTAGTTAGTTAGTTAGTTAGTTAGTTAGTTAGTTAGTTAGTTAGTTAGTTAGTTAGTTAGTTAGTTAGTTAGTTAGTTAGTTAGTAGTTAGTTAGTTAGTTAGTAGTTAGTTAGTTAGTTAGTTAGTAGTTAGTTAGTTAGTTAGTTAGTTAGTAGTTAGTTAGTTAGTTAGTTAGTTAGTTAGTTAGTTAGTAGTTAGTTAGTTAGTTAGTTAGTAGTTAGTTAGTTAGTTAGTTAGTTAGTTAGTTAGTTAGTTAGTTAGTTAGTTAGTTAGTTAGTAGTTAGTTAGTTAGTTAGTTAGTTAGTTAGTAGTTAGTTAGTAGTTAGTTAGTTAGTTAGTAGTTAGTTAGTTAGTTAGTTAGTTAGTTAGTTAGTTAGTTAGTTAGTTAGTTAGTTAGTTAGTTAGTTAGTTAGTTAGTTAGTAGTTAGTAGTTAGTTAGTTAGTTAGTTAGTTAGTTAGTTAGTTAGTTAGTTAGTTAGTTAGTTAGTTAGTTAGTTAGTAGTTAGTTAGTTAGTTAGTAGTTAGTTAGTTAGTTAGTTAGTTAGTTAGTTAGTTAGTTAGTTAGTTAGTTAGTTAGTTAGTTAGTTAGTTAGTTAGTTAGTTAGTTAGTTAGTTAGTTAGTTAGTTAGTTAGTTAGTTAGTTAGTTAGTTAGTTAGTAGTTAGTTAGTTAGTTAGTTAGTTAGTTAGTTAGTTAGTTAGTTAGTTAGTTAGTTAGTTAGTTAGTTAGTTAGTTAGTTAGTTAGTTAGTTAGTTAGTTAGTTAGTTAGTTAGTTAGTTAGTTAGTTAGTTAGTTAGTTAGTTAGTTAGTTAGTTAGTTAGTTAGTTAGTTAGTTAGTTAGTTAGTTAGTTAGTAGTTAGTTAGTTAGTAGTTAGTTAGTTAGTTAGTTAGTTAGTTAGTTAGTAGTTAGTTAGTTAGTTAGTTAGTTAGTTAGTTAGTTAGTTAGTTAGTTAGTTAGTAGTTAGTTAGTTAGTTAGTTAGTTAGTTAGTTAGTTAGTTAGTTAGTTAGTTAGTTAGTTAGTTAGTTAGTTAGTTAGTTAGTTAGTTAGTTAGTAGTAGTTAGTTAGTTAGTAGTAGTTAGTTATTAGTTAGTTAGTTAGTTAGTAGTTAGTTAGTTAGTTAGTTAGTAGTTAGTTAGTTAGTTAGTTTAGTTAGTTAGTTAGTTAGTTAGTAAGTTGGTTTAATTCAGTATCTACCGAGGGTTTTGAGGTGTTTTCAATTGCAGTTATAGTTATTCGACTTCGTAGTGAGAACATTGGGTTACGGTAATTTTCAAAAGCGAAAGGGTTTAAGAAACCCTTTATAAAATAACCGGATTTACTTAACTTAATCACAAACATTTAATTTACATACTTGCAAAAAAACGTAAATCTTTATGTATAATTACCTTTAATGGTGGTCGTTGCTTATCTTTTTTCTGCGCTTCAAAACGTTCTTCGAACCCTCTGTCCCAATACTCCTTGGTACGTATCCATTCTGGCTGTAATTTGGTGGAATAAAACAAAAAGAACAGAACAGCAAAAAAATTAAAAAAAAAGAAACATAATTCATAAATATGCAAAACATAAAAAATTGTTATCGTTGAATGTAAGCAATTTTTTTACATTCTTTTTCAAGTAGTACTAGTATTTACCTGAAAATCAAATTTTGCATATTCCTCTTGGGCTGTAATATTTGTATCACTCTCATCTAGAATGTAACATTTATCGCCCCATTGAGGATTATTGACATACATGCTAGAGGCATAAGCAGTACCACTGCCACTATCACCTGCTAGCCCTCCACCAGTTGTTATACTGCTGCCAGATTGTAAAGCTGGGTCATTGCTATATAAAGCAGATTTGGCTATCAATTTATGTTGTTGCTGCTGCTGCTGCTGGTGCTGCTGCTTTTGTTGTTGTCTGTATGATACTGAAGCTGTATTATCTTCATTGTCGTTGTATTTCATTTTATGCGATGCATAATTTTTATTATAATGTTGTTGCTGCTGCATTGAACCAGTGCCACCATTCGCTGATGTTATTAAAGTTGCTTGCTGTCCTGTTAATAAACTGGCCTGTAGGGGATCTTTGGGCTGTATGGAGGGTTGACCCATAGAGATATAGTAAAGACATAATAGTATAGTTATAAAAGCCGATAGTAAACCAATACAACGTGCAGAACCACGTCGAAATATTTTAAATGTCATGCTGTTTATTTGTTGGCTTCAATGGTCGCTCGTTTTGGTTTGGTTTTGGTAGGTTGGTTGGTTGACCGCTGTTCATTCACTTGCTGTTTGCTTGTTCGATACGAGTTTTTCGCTCTCTCACGGCTTTAATTTTGGGATTCAAAAAGGATTAAATTCTTTTTTTTTGGTTTTGTTTTTGTACCGTTGGGGGTTATTTGAGAAGAATTCGTTGAATACAAAAAAACCCTATAGTATTCGATATCGTTTATTTAATTTATATTGACTGTTTATATGAGATTTTTGTTTTGTTTTTTTGCTCTAAGCCCTGTAAATTCTGTTTGTATTTGTTGTCGTACAAATACAACAAGGGCTTTATGTCAATCTTAAAAACTAATTTAACTGCTTGTCAGCCATGTCCAGAGATTCTTAGCCGTTGATTTTTTTTTTTTTTTTTTTTTGTTTTGTTTGTTTCTTATAAAGTCTGTTTATCTTTTATTTTATTTTGGTTTCTTTACTTGTTAATTGTATTTTGTGGTTTGTTTTTAATACTTGTTAAATTTTTTATGTCAAATATCAGCTACCGTCGGTGGCATCTTTAGAACTTTTTCTTGTTCTTGTTGTATCTTTTGTTATTGACTTTGGGAAATCTGTAAGAAGTGGAAGAAAATAAAAACAAACAATTAAAGTTAATTTGATATGATTTTGCAGAAATTAATTTTGTATTATTATAAATTAAGGTGAATTGCTTTATTTTCTTAATACAAAACCAAGAACTTTGGAAAAATTTTAGGCTGGAATTTGTATCTTGAGGCAAGTAGAGAAACTATTTAAATTTGTAAACTCAATTTGTAAAAAATATTAAATTTGTCAAAGTTTCAACGCCTGCTATTCTTATCATTGTTGGGAAACCAAAGCCTACCTATATAGAGGAACAACTATCCCCAATAGTTAAGACTAGTTTGTTAAGGTTCCTTAACAAAAATTAACCAATATTTTGATGCATTCCAAAAGTAAACATATATAGCAACCATCCTTTTTGTAGTGCAGCTTAACAAATCATTATCTTATTGAATATCTAAGTGTATATGTATATGTGTGAGAAATATATATGTATGTATGACTAAAATCTACAATACCATGGTCTGGAAATATCTCATACCAAATACACATCTTATAAATATGTATTTAGTAGAATATTTAAAAAAAATCATTCCATCTGAAAAATTTCAAAACTTTCCAATTAAATTCAACGATTATCATGATAAAAAGTAATTACTAAACTTTTTAATTTAACCTTAAAAATGTTCATTTAAAACAACATGCCAATTCCACAATAAATTACACTTTAGTACTAAAGTCCCTTAATGGCATTAGTTTTAACTAATTTATTCTCACATACGAGTTGTCGTTCGTTCGAAACTTGTAATACCAATATCAAGTTCAAACCTTAAAAGAGAACATTCAAGTGTAAACATCACAGATAAAATGGACATACATACATATATTATGTATATAAGATACTTATGTACAACTCATGACAGAGGAACAGAAAGATAAACTTGACCATAAATAATGCAGTAAAAAAATAAATAACTAAAATTTCCTCAGTTTACAACATTATACCGTTAATGATATTGTGTAGTACGAAAGTATTGCACATTAAATATGCATAAATTGTTGTTGGCTTAAACGTAAAATGGTCAATGAACATGAATGAAAATAAAAACAAGAAAATAAATACTTGCAATACCAAAAAATCGGTCAGAAATATGTATGAGAGATTCGTACAATTGTATTTATTCGACTTTGTTGACTGCCTGTTGTAATACTCAGTAGAAGTGTAAACAATATTCATTATTGGTAAAATGTGCATGTTTTCGTTGGCAACTTTTACTTATTAACAGAGTTTTAAAGGAATGTGCAAATTTTTACGAAATTTTTATATTTATTATTAATAAACTGAAATATTAGGCTATTCTAGTACATAGTCTAGCCCATGGTCTAGTCCAAAGTCTAGTCCACAGTCTAGTCCATAGTATAGTCCATAGTCTATATTCTAGTCCATAGTCAAGTCAATAGTCTAGTCCATAGTCAAGTCCATCGTCTAGTCCATAGTTTAGTCCATAGTCTAGTCCATAGTCTAGTCTATAGTCTAGTCCATAGTCTAGTCCATAGTCTAGTCCATAGTCTAGTCCATAGTCTAGTCCATGGTCTAGTCCATAATTTAGTCCATAGTCTAGTCCATAGTCTATATTCTAGTCCATAGTCTAGTCCATAGTCAAGTCAATAGTCATATTCTAGTCCATAGTCTAGTTCATAATCTAGTCCATAGTCTAGTCCATAGTCTAGTCCATAGTCTAGTCCATAGTCTAGTCCATAGTCTAGTCCATAGTCTAGTCCATAGTCTAGTCCATAGTCTAGTCCATAGTCTAGTCCATAGTCTAGTCCATAGTCTAGTCCATAGTCCATAGTCTAGTCCATAGTCTAGTCCATAGTCTAGTCCATAGTCTAGTCCATAGTCTAGTCCATAGTCTAGTCCATAGTCTAGTCCATAGTCTAGTCCATAGTCTAGTCCATAATTTAGTCCATAGTCTAGTCCATAGTCTAGTCCATGGTCTAGTCCATAATTTAGTCCATAGTCTAGTCCATAGTCTATATTCTAGTCCATAGTCTAGTCCATAGTTAAGTCAATAGTCATATTCTAGTCCATAGTCTAGTTCATAATCTAGTCCATAGTCTAGTCCATAGTCTAGTCCATAGTCTAGTCCATAGTCTAGTCCATAGTCTAGTCCATAGTCTAGTCCATAGTCTAGTCCATAGTCAAGTCAATAGTCTAGTCCATATTCTAGCCATAGTCTAGTTCATAATCTAGTCCATAGTCTAGTCCATAGTCTAGTCCATAGTCTAGTCATAGTCTAGTCCGTAGTATAGTCCATTAGTCTAGTCCATAGTTCTATTCCATGTCTAGTCCATAGTCTAGTCCATAGTCTAGTCCATAGTCTAGTCCATAGTCTAGTCCATTAGTCTAGTCCATAGTCTAGTCCATAGTCTAGTCCATAGTCTAGTCCATAGTCTAGTCCATAGTCTAGTCCATTAGTCTAGTCCATAGTCTAGTCCATAGTCTAGTCATAGTCTAGTCCATAGTCTAGTCCATAGTCTAGTCCATAGTCTAGTCCATAGTTAGTCATAGTCTAGTCCATAGTCTAGTCCATAGTCTAAGTCCATAGTCTCGAGTCCATAGTCTAGTCCCATAGTCTAGTCCATAGTCTAGTCCATAGTTCTAGTCCATTAGTCTAGTCCATAGTCTAGTCCCTAGTCTAGTCCATAGTCTAGTCCATAGTCTAGTCCATAGTCTAGTCCATAGTCTAGTCCATAGTCTAGTCCATAGTCTAGTCCATAGTCTAGTCCATAGTCTAGTCCATAGTCTAGTCCATAGTCTAGTCCATAGTCTAGTCCATAGTCTAGTCCATAGTCTAGTCCTAGTAGTCCATAGTCTAGTCCATAGTCTAGTCCATAGTCTAGTCCATAGTCTAGTCCATAGTCTAGTCCATAGTCTAGTCCATAGTCTAGTCATAGTCTAGTCATAGTCTAGTCATAGTCTAGTCATAGTCTTCATAGTCTAGTCATAGTCTAGTCATAGTCTAGTCATAGTCTAGTCATAGTATAGTCATAGTGTAGTCATAGTCTAGTCATAGTCTAGTCATAGTCTAGTCATAGTCTAGTCATAGTCTAGTCATAGTCTAGTCATAGTGTAGTCATAGTCTAGTCATAGTCTAGTCATAGTCTAGTCATAGTCTAGTCATAGTCTAGTCATAGTCTAGTCCATAGTTTAGTCTAAAGTCAAGTCCACAGTCCAGTCCATAGTCTAGTCCATAGTCTAGTCCATAGTCTAGTCCATAGTCTAGTCCATAGTCTAGTCCATAGTCTAGTCCATAGTCTAGTCCATAGCCTAGTCCATAGTCTAGTCCATAGTCTAGTCCATAGTCTAGTCCACAGTCTAGTCCATAGTCTAGTCATAGTCTAGTCATAGTCTAGTCATAGTCTAGTCATAGTCTACTCATAGTCTAGTCATAGCCTAGTCATAGTCTAGTCATAGTCTAGTCATAGTCTAGTCCATAGTCTAGTCCATAGTCTAGTCCATAGTCTAGTCCATAGTCTAGTCCATAGTCTAGCCCATAGTCTAGTCCATAGTCTAGTCCATAGTCTAGTCATAGTCTAGTCATAGTCTAGTCAGAGTGAGATTAAATATCTCGCTGCAGTGAAATCATCGAAATATGTTTGCATTCTATTACAATTCTGCTCCAAGTACTTTAACAATCGCCTGAAACCTAATAAATCATAAAGCACTGATGCGAAAACACAAACAAATTGAATGAATAAAAGACTGTCTCACTGACTGGCTGACTAAAAAACAGGGCGAGTAAAAGAAAGAATGAATATAAGTAGAATAGTAGTAAAAATAGAAGCGAAAAAGAAAATTAGCATTTTATTTTAGGCCAAGTACAATAACGACAACGACTTTGTTTTGCTGGTTAAACACACAATGACAACCATCATCAATGAACGACCTTTCCTTCTTTGGTTCTTTTTTTTTTTTTTTTTTTGCTTATGGCGCAAACACCTTTAGAAAATTATGACACTTTTACACTTTCTATGCCAAATACTAATATGTACTAAGTACAAGTTCTAAGTACTAAATTACTAACTGCTGACAGACTGATGTTTGTTTTTTGTTTGTGAATTTATAAAGAAAGACACAGTTGGCAGTATTTATGCTTTAGTAGGTTAAATATTGAAGTGTGAGCAGTACTTGTTAATTTTACTTTTTTACCTTTACTACTAACTAAATATGATTACTATTATATTTGTGTCTAGTTTTTGCCTTGTAGCAAGTTAGGGCGTCTTTTTGCATTCACTTTTTATTTATGTTTTAAAATTTCGCACGACTTTGTGACTTTTGTGGTCGCGTTAATGAGTCAAGATTACAACGGCTATATATAAATGTACAATTACTTTTGAAGCCATTGTGAAAAAAATACTATTTAGAACTTTTTTAGTAAATTTTTATTATAATTTAAATAAGTTATACAGGCATAGTCAGTTCGTATGTTGTTTGTTGTTTCTAAATAAGAGCTATCATTTAATTATTTTCATTATAAAACTAATAATTGACAGAGCTGTATGTAATTACGGCGGCAATGATAGTATGTAGAGCCAGCTTATACAATATGTGGGTAAATATAAAATATTAAAATAATTATTTATTTACAATCACTTTAAATAAGTCTACATTCAAAACACAGAGTGTTTGTTGCTCATGAAATCAGGGATGGGAATTTCAGTAATGTAATGTTTCAGTAATTTTTGACATAGGAAAATACCGCAGTACTATACGTTTCCGGCATATTAAATTTGTCAGAAACCGAGTTTTCAGATTAGTCTATAGACTTGTCCATATACTATTCAATTGACTAATTCATAGACTAAACGAGAGACTAGTCAATTGAACAAGTCTATAGACTAATCTGAAAACTCGGTTTCTGACAAATTTAATATGGTATAGTATATGGACGAGTCTATAGACTTGTCCATATACTATTCAATTGACTAGTTCATAGACTAAACAAGAGACTAGTCCATATTATTA